CTCTCTCTCTCTCTCTCTCTCTCTCTCTCTCTCTCTCTCTCTCTCTCTCTCTCTCTCTTTGTGTGTGTGTGTGTGTGTGTGTGTGTGTGTGTGTCTGTGCGCGCACGCTATGACCTGGAAAGCCAGGCAACCTATCTATTGAATTTTATTCAACATTTTCTCTTTACTCTTGTACTCATTCCTAGCTTGTCTACACTACGTGATCCTACCCTGTTCTGGGTGCTCTCTCTCTCTCTCTCTCTCTCTCTCTCTCTCTCTCTCTCTCTCTCTCTCTCTCCGCATAAATATTCAAGTTTCCAGGCTGCTGCCTGCCTGCAGCCATCTTAAGTTTCCAGGCTGCTGCCCGATTGCAGCCATCTTCTCTCTTCTGTTTTCCGTGCTCTGCTATTTTCTGGTCCATATTTGTTGCCCCGTTGTCCGCTTTCTGACCGCACAATCCACACTCGACTACTGGCTTGAGCTCTACCTGTGGCCCTTCTTGTAAAAAAAAATAAAAAATAGAAAAAATATATAAAAACTGAATAACATTGCCTCACCACGAGAGTATTCGTCAACCACCTGTCCTGAAGTCTTGAACTGTCGCTCTTAATTTGTGGCTGAAGCGGACACAAGATTTGAACCGACCTCGACCGCCGCCTAGCAAACGATCATTCCTTTTGAGGAAAATGGAGGTTGTCGTTGCAGCCATTCCGCTTTATGGAGAGAAGCGGACCACCTACTCCGTCGCCAGCTTTCCACTACGTAAGTGGTGAAGGTGACTATAGCACATTGGAAGAATCTTTCTTCGAAAAAGACAAAGTCAGGAAAAAGCCTCTTGACTATAGTACATCAGAAGACTCTTTCTTCGAAAAAGACAAAATCAGAAAAAAGTCTCCTGACTATAGCACATCGGAAGGATCTTTCTTCGAAAAAGACAAAATCGGAAGAATTTTTTTTCCTGTGCCGTTGATATATGTCCCCCAACGGTTGGATAAGGAAGTTTCACCTTTGTTAATGCTTCAGGGTTCCAATTAAAGAGTTGGAGCTTAACTTCCGACAAAGCGAAAGCTTTCACATACATAACAAAAAATTTGCTTGTCACATTGGTTGTACCAAAGGGCTGAATGACTCCGCTGACCATGGCCGCCCCAAGGCTGATGTTCCCCCAGAGAAAATTGCTCAGAGAGCGCTCCTGCTCCTGCCAAGTGAAAGTTAAGAGAGTGCTCCTGCCTCTGCGTATTTGAATACTTGAGAGAACGCATGGACCATTATCTAATTGTGAGGCCACAACTGGTGAAGTTGTGAGCCATGTGTTTTGATCTCAGGAGACATTTACTTCTTCTATTGAAAATATTACTCGGCTTTCTTGAGTGGGTCGGATCAAACTTCACTCAAGGTCAATTGATTGACTCAAATTTCCCTTCACATTTGTGTGAACCCGCACTTTGCTCAACCCTGTTTGTTTTAGATATTCAAAAGAAAAGGTAGAGGAAAGTTATGCGAGTCATGCATGTGAATGGAAACGTCTGAGTCGAGTATGGGATTGTACTGTTTTCTTTTGAATTTATTTTCTTTCAATGTTGTGCAGGCAGGTAGAAGGATGCTTGCAAAGGAGATTGATTTTGCCTATTGGAGAAAAGAAAAAAAAAATTTGTTTTTTACCTTCCACCTGCTTGTTTGTCAAAGTGAACTTGTTGTTCTGAAGAAGATTAATTCAGTGCGTGCCATAAAACGTATTCGATTGAGAGAAAGCAGATAAGGTTAAATGGACTTGGTATTTTTACCGAGGATTTACCCATTTTATCCCAAAATACCTTATCTACCTATACCTGTCCAAATGATTATCATTCTCTATCTCCTTCAATTTCTTTTCGTCCAAGTTACCTTGAACTTAGGAGAAGTGAGAATAACTAAAAGTTACTTGAGGTGAGCACATTCTCTGTCTTCAGGAAGCATCTCGGGCGGGAGTTTGTTGCTTTAGGAGCCGGCCCTGTTATCAACCCAGAGTGAAGCATTTTACGGGGGGAGTACTTTGCCGATTCAGTGGAGACGGCCCGACTTCTGAGATCCGAGTCTTGTTTGCTCGGGTGAGGAGTACCTCATACCACTTCCTAGAGGGAGAGACATGCAACACTTCAAGCAATGCACCTGATCAAGAATCATCCGCAAAACAGTTTGTCATCCCAGAAGATTGAAAATGTATGGAGACGGGTGTGAGCGTGTTTAATATTAGGTTTGCAGTAGGATGGAATGAATGACTTTGGTGACGCGTCTCATCAAGTCAAAGCTAAGGTAAACCGATTACCTTGTCGGTTGCACAAAGATTATTGTCGGACCCCACTCTTTGTTGGCGGCTGTGTTATTTTTATTTATGGCGACCTGAGATGGCCGTATTGTATTTCGATTTTTTATTATTAGATGTATCTAATGATGATTTTGATCCTTTTAGTTATCATTTCATATTAAATATTTATTTTTATCGACTACGGTCGATCCTTTAGATATAATAATGTGTGGTTGTTATAATTGTCTTTCAACTATATATCTAAGGAACTAGGATTAATATTTGGGTTTCACGCTTGGTTGAGACCGTCCTAGTCGACTGGCGTACGCTCCGTACTTCGGAGATCGGCGCCCTAAGGAATGGACGACTCTCGGGTTTCCTTGGCGTTAACTAAGCGTATTTATACTATAGTGAACAAGCAAACACCCTCGGTTGATCTACCTTTGCGATTGCATCTAAATGCTTTCGCATGTGGGTCAGTAGCTCGGTAGGGATACGCCCCTAAGGGTGGTGATAACCCCTTAGGGAAGGCAAGTTATGCCCCGAGGAAACCTATCCTGTCGTAGGGGACCGCGGGAGATATAGCTGGCGAACCCGGCTAGAGCGGCAAATGGACGATACGACCACGCCCGTCTCGGGGGTCTGCGGGATTATTATGTGTCGTTTCCGAGTTGTCTCTTGGTTTTGTTTTGTTTAACTTTTGCGTGACATGGCCGAGAGGGCTCATGTGCTTTGCAAAAATAGGAGAGCCGATGCGCTCGACACCGGTACGAAAACAGAGCGGGAAATGAGAAGTTGGGTTATCCCCAATGGGGCAAGATCAGTACAGGGGAGTAACGCTCGTGGGTGGACAACATATGTGGATTATCAGAGTGTCAATGACCGGACTTTCAAAAGAGACTTACATGACTTTCTAAACATTATGATATTGAACCTCAAGCGACCCTTACGAAGGTAGGTGATAAGGCGTATAGGACAAAAAAATACATTTTTGTCAATTTCGAGGATCAGAAGGAGGCGGGTCTCAAATGGTTTTCCCACTCTACCTTCGATTTGCAGTGTCTCAAGATCAAGTCTCATTCAGTCTGATCAGTGGCAGATGTTGTGTCCTTTTGTTGCTCAATCTTACGAAGAGGAATTATCAAATCCTCTTCAGATTTAGAGAATGGTGGTTGGATCCGGTTATAAAACAAAGAGAGAAGTGGGGTGAGAGATTTTTTAGTATGTGGCTATGGAGGTTTTGTAAGCATTCTATGGGAAGAATCCCGTATGGCATCGAGCCACTCAGATAGCGAATTTGGATCTAAGGTCCCTAAATGTGAATGAGTTTGCCACAACAGACGGGGAAAAAAAAAGAGCATTGGTAGAGCGGTTAAAAGGAGTAGGGGGACGTACGTGAATGAGCTTGCCACAACAGACGGGGAGAAAAAGAGAGCATTGGTAG